TGTGTGGGCTGGGGGAAGAGACTGAATAAAAATCGTGCGCCTATGGATGAGGACAGTGGGTGGAGAGTGAGGGCGGAAGGTGGGGCGGGAACTGGGAGGAGGGGAGTTATGGGGGGGGGGAAAGAGGAACAAATGTAATAATCTGAACAATAAAGATTTAATTAAAAAAATAAAAACACTGACTGATCAGATGAATGCTTTGTGAGCACTTTCTAACGTACGTGTTCTATCTACTATAGGTTTTGGAGAAGTGTAAGTTAGAAAACAAAAAAGTAGATGTATGAACAGAACTATAATCTTGAGGCTGAAAATGGTATTTCTGTTTTTGGAAAGGAGCTATAAACTGGGTCATCACATATTGCTATGGACTAAATTGTGTTTCCCCTACCCCCTGCCAAATTCATGTGCTGAAGCCCTTACCCACAATGTGACTACCTCTTTAAAGGCTGTATCTCCATATACAATTAAGATTAAATGAGGGTGGGGCTCTAATCCAATATGACTGGTATCCTTATAAGAGGGACCCCAGAAATATGTGCATGCACAAAGAGAGAAGGCTGTCTACAAGCCATGAAGTGGCCCCAGGAGAAACTAAACCTGTCAACACCTTGACTTTGGACTTCCAGACTCCAGAACTGTGAGGAAATGTGTTTTTTAAGCCACAATTCTATGGTATTTTGTTTTGGCAGGCCTAGCTAAGTAATACATATAACTTGAATAAAATTAAATGGTGTTTAATTTGTTTAATGATGTAAATTCTTTTTTTAAATTAACTTCCCCCAAGCAACGGAGTGATTGTACTTTTGGAAAAGGACAGGGGGATCCAGAGGCAGAGTCAACAATTCTGAATTATAGAGCAAAGGCACTGGCATTGTAGAGAATCAGATAAAGGAGAAAATCCACCTTAGTCTCAAACCTAAAACTAAGCAAAATCATTTTTAGTCATGTCCTTGAAATTACAAGTGAGAGAAATATGAGAATCTTCCAACACACAGGGGATCCCAAGTAAATGGAAATTAAAAAGCATCGACTTGAGGTGCAGTGGATCTCAGACTTGAGCAGATCAGAATCATCTGAAGGACTTGTTAAAACACAGGTCACTTGAGGATCTTCTGAATCAGGAATCTGGTGTGGGACTCACGAATTTCCAGTTCTAGCGTGTTCCCAGACGTTGCTGAAGCTGCTGGTCTGAGATCACGATTTGAGAACTGATTCAGTGTATGGTCATTATAGTACTTTAATGAACCTAGAAAGTATTAGCGGGGCCTCAGAGGTTCACTCATGACTACAGTCTCCTTATGTCCTGTGTTTATAAGAAATTCATACAAGTCTTAAGTTCTATCTGTTTGAATTCTGTGTTGTATTACTGCAAAACATAATTTTTGGGGGATGGGAAGGGAGGACTATAGTAATCAAAATGAGAGTCATTTAAATAAAAATAAAATCTGCCACAGACAACAGTTTTATGAAGTTCCAAATTTTATATTACTTCCTATATATTATATTTAACCCAGTAAATAAAGTAAGGAAATTTTGCTGACCTAAATATTAAAGCCGATATAAAAACAAGTAATTTCTCCAGTTCTTGAAAAAGGTCACTTCTGTAAATAAGTACTTCAGGTTCATTACTAGGAATAAATAAACTGGCTTTTCAGTATGAAGTAAACATAATAATAAAACTTACCTTCGGCACAAGAGCCACATACGATTCTCTGGATGTGGCTTATATAAGGAGAAATTTCCACCTGGTGTTTGGGTGTGTTGTGTCTCAGTAGTCAGTTAGACACATAAACACAGATCACTTTACCGTTAGGGTAGAATATCATAAAATACTGCAGATAATTTAGAAAAGCTTAGATAATTCATATAAAGTTTTCTGAGGTTTTGACAGAACTTGAAAACCAATGCAGAACACAGATTCTGCTGAAGTGAAGAATATAAAATCTGAATAAAAACTCATTTGGATAGCTACGATATGCAAAATCTATACTTATGAAAGAAACAGTACCAGGTCCTTGTCATTAATGCTTTAACAGCATACTGATACCTTTGTAAGGAGCATCCTAGAACAACTTCATATTCCCCTTTCCTCTCTGTCCAGGATCTTTTGTGAGAGGCACTTACACAAAGCACTTTTGGCGGCGCCGTAACAAACATACGCACAGTATAATGATATATTTTACTAAGCTAACAAAGTATTGTTCATAAAGAAATTTTATAAATTCAAAAATAGGTTGTTGGTAACATGATTACCTTTAAAGCATTGATTTTAATTCACAATGTTACTTCATTAATCTTAAACAGAAGTTCCATCTATAAAATGTTCCACAGCTTCTTCCTTATTAAAAAGGTGGTAAATAAAAGCAGGTCAGATACTCAAATTCTAGGTCAACAACAGCAACTTCATTTCACAGCACTGATTAGCAGAGAACATTTTCAATTAAAGTAATATACAGTTTACAAAAAAATAGAATGATTCTGTAATGCAAAACATTGTCTTCCACTATAAAGAATATGTGTGTATGTGTGCATGTGTATGTATTATGTATACATATACATATTTCTTATAAGTTTCACTATTAAATAGCCCTTATTCAAGTATATTTTCTGGTATCTTTTGAAATAATCACCTTGCTATATTATTTGTAAATACATAAAAAAATAAAAGGTTAATCTAAGAAAGGTTAAAAGTTTCAGTGTGGTTGACTTAGTCACTCACTTCAGTGAAAACCTGATTTGAATTCAAAATAAGTTTAGGTGCCATATTAAGTTTAACTACTTAGAAAAAATATATATAAATGTATTTGTCAAATATTTAGTAAATTTCCAATGTGCTAACATTAGAGCAGAATAAAAAGTCTTTATTACTGATCACCCACTCTTAATCCCCAAAATTCATTTATATAACTAAAATAACACACTAATATACAATATACCTGCTTACAAACACATAGGTAGCCATAAATAAAACTTTATTCTTTAATTCCATTTACAAGCTACCAAATGTTATGTATCGTACACAGTGCTGAACACTTAAACGGCTGTAGCCATGGAAGGATCCAGACTCAATGGAACAATGTAGGTAAAGCTAAAAGCAGTAATACTGTAAGAGAAAGGTGGCAAAAACATGGTTTTTCAATGATACGATCAATCAGATTTGTAATTATACATGAGATCTGGCTAAGACAAAGTCTGAGAGCCATGCGATTCCCAGCTTTATTGTTTGCAGTCCAGCTAAAGTCTGTATAGTCATTTTGTATTTTGAAGTCATTAAAATAAAAAAATGTTAAAAACTATAGCAGCAACAAGCAAACCTTGTGACAAGAAGGCAAGGGTTAAGAACTGAAAAAAAAGTTTACACAGTGTGTTTAGGGAAAGTGTGTGCTGTTTATCTTCCATCAGCAGGAGTTCGACTGAGGGACAACATGATTCGGGCAAATCTCTCGCACAGTTCAAGTGTGGAATATGAAGGTAACTTCGGTGGCTCCTGGAAACCTTTAATCTCCGTAGAACAATCGAGAAGTTTTGGCAGAAAATCTGTCAGCTTCTCTTGGAGGTGTGCTGCAAATAAAAACAAGTAGAGGTAACTAAGGATAGAGAGCGAGTGAAATTATCTTTAAGATGATTTATTAACTTGAAGTGGCCAGTGATGATTCATTTTAAAATATATAAAATAATTATCATCTTGAGGGAACAGATAAAAGATAATGACAATGAGTTCATAGCTTCGTTTGTAAATAAGAAAAAAGTAATGTGAATATTACAAAATATAAAAAATGATACAAATAAATAACATTAATTTGAACTGCTTTTAATTCCAACCAACTTAGATGTCCACTAGCATTATTTAAACTTACATTCCATTTCTTGTCCAAGATAAGAGCACCATCGATTTCTCATATCTTCCACAGCAAGTATATCTTTCTCTTCCATTTCATCCACCAATAATAAGGGCAAAAATGGGACAATAAACTCATTCATAATAATGAGACCATTGTTTACTTCTCGATCCTCTCCAGATTCAAACAGTTCTGCAGCTTGCTCATTTAATTTCTTAATGCAATGAGAAAAAGAACAGGTTTGTTTTCTTTTTTAATGTAATAAAATACCCGTAAGTATAAATACTGAAGATGATATAATGAGTATGTTCACAAACGGTATTAGAAAAAATGGCAATCAGGAAAAATAATCTCAAGCTATTCTAGCATGAAAAATCTCTTAGAAAAAGCTATGTGTATTAACAACAGAAATAAAAGGAAAAAGAAGTGGGGAAAATATTGTTGTTATGCTTTTAAAATTTGTGTTTAGCTTATATTGATCATCGCTACAGGGGCCAATTTTTATTTATTCTCCAGGGATGAACTTCCCCCAGTACTAAAATTGAATAAGCACTCAAAATAATTTTGAAAATAAAGAGATTCAAACTCCATATTAATTTTGAAAAACTATCATTTCTCTATAAATGTCAATTGAACAAGAAAAGCTATATTCCTTCATATAAAAATATGAAAGTAAACAATTAATTCATTTATCCCTTCAAAAAATTCTTACTGAGTTCATGACATGTGCCAGAAACTGTTTTAGATGCAGGAGTACTTAGGTGATTAATACAGAAAACTCTCATGGCGCTTATGATGTGGTACAGGGACTGGTAAGCTTTTTTGGTGAAGAACAAGACAGGAAATATTTTAGGCCTTGAGGGCCATATTGTTTCTGCTGCAATTACTCAGCCATGCCATTGTCTTACAAAGGCAGCCACATCTTACCTAATAATAGACAAACATGCAAACTGACCGTCTTTCCACTACACCCACCAGCCAATTGGATAAGTATGCAAATTAACCCAACAAAGATGGTGGTTAATTTGCATACGTAGGCACCCAGTGGCCTGGGTCCCGGGAATATCATCGGCACCCAGGTCACTCCGAGGTAGGCCTCCGTGTGGGCCCTGAACCTCCTAGGAAGGGCCTGAGCCAAGGGGCTCCTAGGCAGGGCCGAGCCTGTGATGGGAACTGAGGGGGCCCCTGCCCAGGCCTAAAGCCTTGGCCAGAGGCATTAGGCCTGGGCAGGGGCCGAGCCGGCGACCGGTGTGAACTACAGAGGACACACCTTTTCTGAGCTGGCTGGGGCCCAGCTCAGAGCTCATGCAGGAGACAACCAATTGAAGTGTGCCTCTCACATTGATGTCTCTCTCTGTCTTTCCATCTTTCTTCCATGCTCTCTAAAAATCAATGGAAAAATATCCTCAGATGAGGATAAAATAAAAGAAAAAAAGAAATGCCATATCCTATGAAAGAGACATCTTGAAAATGCCTAAAGAAAATTGTCCTTTTTTCATGGTGAAGGGACTGGAGTCCGTGTTGATGAAAACCACTTGGCTGCTGTGGCGGCTGGCAGTGGCAGCAATAGTGGGGTGATGGGGGTGGCGCCTTCCCCTGCTCAATCTGGTCACCTCCCACAAAGGTAGGCCAGACTGCAGCTTAGGCCCGCTCCTCAAGGGGCGCAGGGAGCAGGCCTAAGTCATCAGTAGGACATCCCCTGAGGGCTCCCAGTATGTGAGAGGGGGCAGGCTGGGCTGAGGGACAGCCCCCCAGCGCCAGTGCATGAATTTCGTGCACCGGGCCCCTAGTATGAATTATAAATGAGTATGGTTATGTTTCAAATGAAACTTGAGAAAAACAAGTGACAGGCTGGAGTACAGGCCAAGTACGCTGATCCCTAATCTAGAACTGAGAAATCCTTAAGAATAAGAAATATAGACGTAAGAGATAGATAAGGAATCCAGGCAAAATAAGGGCTATAATATTTAAGGGCTTATGTTTGAAATCTTATGTTTATAGCATGATAAATATGATTTCAAATAACCATAGTGTTAAGCTGAATTTCAAATATAAAGATTATATTATTTGTTTTATTTTACATTCTGGAATAGTTTATTTCCTAGTCACTGTTAAAGTTTTATTGTTACACATCAATAAAACAGCCGAAACCGGTTTGGTTCAGTGGATAGAGCGTCGGCTTGTGGACTGAAGGGTCCCGGGTTCGATTCCGGTCAGGGGCGTGTACCTGGGTTGCAGGCGCATCCCCAGTGGGAGATGTGCAGGAGGCAGCTGATCCATGTTTCTCTCTCATCGATGTTTCTAGCTCTCTATCTCTCTCCCTTCCTCTCTGTAAAAAATCAATACAATATATTAAAAAAAATATATATATACAATAAAACAAACTTCTAATTACTACAGAGAACCCAGATGTCTTGTGGGCAGAGAATATATCAAGAGTTTGTAGACTGGTTGCAAATGCAAGGAGCAGATGCAAATACTATTGAAAGGTAAATTTATACCCCCCCAAAACAATCCTATGCTATTATTACAAAGATGCTTACCTCCTATGTATTTGATCTTTATTTCAGATTGTTAAAGAAGGTTATACACTTTCTGATATTCTTAATGATACCACTAAGGAAGACCTCAGATACCTTGGTCTATGGTAAGAACAGCCTCAGAACACTTTGCACAATAGAAAATGACTTTTTTCATGTGATTATGCTTTGAAATAAAGTAGTAGAAAACAAAGTGCAGCTGCCTTTCCCCCTTCATTGAAACTAACTCCTTTTTCTATGGCTTAGAAAACTCCAAACTCTGCAGTTTTCCCAGGTTCAAGTCGGGACCTAAAGCCAAGGGGTGGCAGAAGCTGAAGCCTCTGCAGGAAAAGCAGGAAGGCAAGGTAAGTGCTCTCCCCATTCTGTGCTTCACCAAAACCCTTCTTTAAATTGCAGCCTGCATTCTGGTTCCCATATCATCTTAAATGGGCTGTTCTGCACAGATCAGCACACTTGCACATACCTCCGAGGGCATGCCCCACTCCTGCTGGGGCACAAGTGTCACCTTCATGTGTGAAAATAACATATTTATATTTTAGCTAAGTTTTTAAGACAAGATAGAAAATCTAGAGTTATGTACTATTGTTTTTGCCATAGGGCTCCTCATCAAGTATTCCGTGGTGTTGCTTTGAAGTTATCTTTTGACTCTAAAGAAGGCTCTTGTTTTTGTTTCGTAGTGGTGGGCTCCTCTGCGGGCTCTGGAGCGCAGTCTCCCAGTACAGAAGACGGACTTGGGGGCCCCCTGGCAACCCAAAACACTGAACCAGTCGGAAAAGCCACGGGACAGAGGGAGATAGGAGTCCACATCTTTGTTGTTAAATTTCTCATACAGACACACATACAGCTTGTATCATTCTTGTGCAATTTACTTTTAGCTTGGAGAGAGGCTTAAGTACTAATTACTCACATTCCATGCAGCCTCTCCTTTCCCACCAAGAAGGGAATGGCAGAGTGATGAAGAAATCTAAATATAAAAATGTAATCATTCTGATCCCATTTCAAGAACATTTATGGTTTATCACATGCAATACTTAGGATCCATAAAAAAGAAGGGATAAAGAATTGAGTCTATTCTCCCATTCTTAAGGGAGTAACCCCAGATTATAGACATCATCAAATTCTTACCCCATCAGAGTTTATAGTCAATCAGTTATATATGAGTCTGGAAAATTTGCTCAATGTAAGACAAAAAGATAAAGTAAACAAATATGTACATTTAACTTACAAGTAAACATTCTCTTCTATAATGTGATATCAACTCTTCATCATGTCCTCTGTATGGGCCTTTGGACAAGAGTTCTTTGTTATTCTGATAGGCACAGATAAGGAACAGCAAGGAATCTATATAACTTAAAAATTGTAAGAAACAGATAGCATTAGTATTTCACATAAAATCCAATTATAATTATAAAAAAATTTAAATAAACACATTTTGATTATCCAGAACAACATTATAATAAAAACTATCATCTGATGTATTGGAAGACTGAGAGCCTTGCTTTTAAAAAAAAGGCATATAAAATAAAATAAAAATAACAAAAAATAAAAACAGGCACATATGAAAACATGAGACAGTTATGTCTTAAACGTGAAATACAAAAAAATCAAATAAATGAAACAAAACAAACAAAAACTGGGAGAAAAGACCATAATTGATGAATCCAGGTAGTTGCTTTTGTCTGCTTTGTGATTTATTTTCCTGATGTCTTTCATTTAGATTCAAAACCAAGACATGTGAAAGTCAATAAACTACTTGTTTAATGTAATGTTATTTTTGTTTGAAGAAAGAATGTTACTTTGTTTTTTAACCACATCATTGGTTCATTCAGTGACTATCTGGCCAGGTTTTTTCTATGCCACAGGAACAGTTCTAGTCACTGAAAAAAACTTCATGTTGTGGGGATAATATCCAAGGGAGATGAGAAAAACATGGGAACTCTAGCAAGATGCAAAGAAACAAAAGAAAACACTAACATAAAAGGCTGGAAGTGTAGCCTTCTATTATATTTAATACAAGTAATATTACTTTGTTAATTAAATCTAGAAATGATGGAGTTCAAACTAGTTAATAAAGGGAGGAGAGGAAACCGAGTGTTATATCTGCCTATGAAACAATTACCCTTCTAACATGCTACAGGAAAAAATACATAGATATATGTTTGTAAAACTGAAATAGTAAAGATATTTTAAGATATTTCCATTGTGTTAGTTTGTCCAATCATAACATATCTTTCTATAGATTAATTCATAAAATTGGAACATCCTAATAAGTAAAATATTATAAAGAAAACTCTAGGATACACTGCCAAACAGTGTTAATGCTTATTATATAATTTCATGTGTTCAGATATAAACGATCAATTCTATATTCTAATGTTCAAGCACAGAATTACTGGGAAATTAATGCATTTGTGACAAATCAAATTATACCCTGAAACTGTCAGAAAAAAATGTCATTTTATACATTTACTAAAAATGGCTTCTTCTAGGAATTTGTTTTTGAGAAAACCCAAGATTATGAAACTATTCTGAAATAATATAGATACAATCTCAGTTAAAATTTTTTTGTTTTACTTATGAAAAGAAGTGATAATAAGAATAAACGTTGTTTTATGTCACTAAGTTGAAGCAGTTTGCTGGCATATCTACCTTTTCTTTTATAGCTGTTAAATTTCCCGTTACAAAGGCCTCCCCTGAATGACACTCTAATCTGGCCTCTTAGATCTGAATCACCTCTCTGAGAATAGCCCTGAAATCATGACCTTGTTCCAATTTTCTTCTGAAGTGCACAATTCGTTCCATATTTTATCAACTACAATGTGGTGACTGCCAGGGGGAGGAGGTAGTGGAGAATATAGAGGGGATAAATGGTGATGGATGGAGACTTGACTTGGCTTGGTAAACACACAATACAGTGTACAGATGATATGTTGTGGAATTTTGCACCTGAAACCTGTATAATTTTCTTAACCATTGTCACTCCAATAAATTCAATAAAATGGAAAAAATAAAGTTTTATAAACGTTTTCAATCAGAATAAAAATCAGCAGTCCAATTACCACATTTTTATTTAAGATAAAATAGACTGTGTAGCCTGGTGGACTCTCTCTTTGTCTTTACGTATACTCCTTATACCACTGTAAATTTATGTTTACTAAAAACATTATTGTACTTCACTACACAGAACTGACAATGGCCCATCAGTAAATATTCCATTCATAGCTTTCAAATGTTGTATTTTCATTAAAAACAAAGTTTGACAGAACCTTTTGGAAATACTTTATATGCTGCTAGCTATGGTAACTGCTATATATACTGGTAAAGTGAGAATATTGACATTTCTTTTTACAGTATTCTATAAACATTACTTGTCACCATTACTAACTTTCCAGTTGATCCTTCCAATTTAATTTACATTTGTTATACTAGAATATTGACTTTTGAACAAATATATATGAGATAAGAAAATTATGAAATTTCAACATATTTCTAAGTTATATCTTAAAGACCTCTAACAGTTGTTAACTAAAAAGAGCTGATCTAGATACTATGCAGAGAGCTGGCAAGAGACAGTTTCATCTTTTTAATTCTGAATGAGATAAATGAATAATACTTTTTGTGCTTATCTGATTTCATTAAGTTATACAAGAATACAGGGGTTCTATTTAATTTTTATCTCCCCAGTTAATTGTGTGTCCTTGACAAAGTTATTGCCCAGAGCAGCTTAGTTTAGCTGCAAAATGCCATTTTAGCCTTAGACACTCTATTGAATTATAACATCATATTAATATTTTCCCATATCATTACAAATCTAAGAAATACTAATATGAACTTAAATATTTCTATTAAAGAAATAAAGTTGTGTCCAAAGTAATAACATAAAATAGAGCTATTAATCAACATAGTTTTCTATTTCACTGACCAATGTGACATAAATTATCTTATAAACTACACAATAATCATGACTTTAATAATTTGCATCCAAAGTGATGTGTAAAAATAATAGCTTTGTGCACTGTCCACCAAACAAAGTAGCACTGCCCAATAGAAATTTCTGTAGAGATGGAAGTGTTTTATATCTTGGCCAATACAGTAGTTACCACATGTAGACACTGAACATTCGAAATGTGACTAGTCTGACTGAGGAACTAAATTTTTAGCTTTAAAGTTTTTATTAATTTAAATTGTTACACTGGCTGGTGACCACCATGGTGGAAATCACAGCACTAGAAGTAAAGGTCTAGGTTATCATATAAGAAAAAATAGTTCCATTACTTCAGTATGGAAAGACAAAGAAAGGGGGAATGAAAGGGAGAAAGAATTCAATATACCTTTTATTTGGTTGCAGTTTGGCCTATTTACAGCATTTAAAAAAACAAATCACTAGTCAAGTAAGTTCACAGTAAAATATGTTAATTAAGAAATATGTGGAGAAACAAGGCAAACTAGTGAATAATCAGTAGTGTTAAATAAATCAACAATGACCATTTCTTCTTCATAACAATTAAAATAATAATAAATGCCAATATTATAGTTAAGTAGAAATGTCTTTAAAATCATTTACAATTTATATGAAAATAACAATCTAAAATGTGTTTGCAGTCACAATACTTAGAAGACAAGAGATCAGTTTTCTACGGCTCTATTTTTTAGAGTACCTGAAAGTTCAGGCAGAGATTGGAAAAACTGTCTTTGATTTGATGTCAGAATTAGACTCAGACAGAAGGAATATGAAAAAGGCAGGTGGCCGAAGGTTAAGGAATACAAAAATATCATGTGCTGGGCTATCAGCTTTTCTGGTTTCCAGCAAACTTTTGGCTTCTACCTAATCCTATGTCATTCTAAGCTTCAGGTATAGTATTTCAGAGCTTATAAAAACCAGACACTAATACCAACCTTACAGATTTAATTTAAAATAAAAAATACATTGTGTGTGGGTATATTAACTGTGCAATTTCCCTGTAAATCTAAAACTGTTATAAAAGAAGACATTTATTAAAAATATAGTTTCTAACTCTCTATCTCTCTCCCTTCCTCTCTGGAAAAAATCAATAAAATATATTTAAAAAAAAAATATATATATTGTGAATAAAATCTTTTCTATATGTAAGATAATAGCTGAATAGAATTACATACAAAAATTAAGCTCTTCTTTTCAGCTGTGTCCACTTTTCCTTACCTTTCTCTTTGAAAATTTTCTAGTCCAATTATGAGATACATGGTTGTTTCCCTGAATTTTCTATAATCCTGATGCCATTCCTGTAAGTGAAAGAAAATATAAAAGTATATACAAGAAGAAAACTACAATAAAAACTCTTCATAAAGTAATACACAATTCTAATAACTACTTGGGTTTTTTAAAAATTTGATTTTAGAGAGACAGAGAAACATCGGTATGTGCCCGAATCAGGATCAAACCCATTACCTTTCCACTCACAGGATGATGTTCAACCAACTGAGCCATGCCGGCCAGGGCTGATAACTATTTGAATTAATAGAGGCAAAGGGTTCAAAATTTAGATGAACTAGAGCTAAATCAAGACTTTAGTTTCTGACAAAGACTATTAGTAAAATAATAAACATAAAAATGATTAGACATTGATGAAAAATTAAATGACAAAGATCTCATCAGAAACATAAGAAATATAAGATAGGATAATCAATCTGGTTATCTCTCAAAAATTCCTCAGTACAAAAACATGAAAATATAGAGTGGGGCAAAAGTAGGTTTACAGTTCTGAGTACGTGAAACTGAGTTTATTCTTTTATTTTTATTTATTATTGTGTGATTTTCCATAAACAACTGCAAACCTACTTTTGTCCCATCCTGCATCTACATCACACTGAATGTAGGAAGTAAATGAATTTCCTACTCTAATGTGAAACAAAGCCTGAAGTCTATTATTTGATGCAGAATTTAAAGGAACTAAAAGAAAAAAATGTTTTAGCATAGTAAGTTTATTTGATCATTTACTTTTTGTAAATTTGTGTGGAATTTGACTTTAAATGTGGCATGTGAATGGTCTATTCATCTGAACACAGTGAAAAGAATAGCCGCATTTCCCATTTCACTGCCTTACTTCCTAAAAGCCAATTGTAGGGCAAGTAGCAGGACTAACACACTCAAAACTGACATCCTATATAAATCATGATTTTTTTCTTATTTAATAAAAATTGATTAAGAAAAACCATAACTAAAATACAATATAGGAGTATGCTAAAAAAGACACTGATAATAAAAGTGTTAAAGCTCTAATATAGACACTAGAAGCCCGATGCACGATGATTTGTGCAAGAATGGGCCTTCCTTCCCCTGGCTGCCAGCACTGCCTTTGTTCAGGCCAGAGCTGCTTTTCCTCCTTCACTCCAGCCTGGAGCCACCTTTCTGCCTTCCCATGCTATCCAGAGGCCCGGAGCAGCTGGGGCAGTGCAGAACACCTGTGTTGCCACCATGGTGATGAAGCAAGCGTCACCCGCCCTGCCTCTGGCCACTTGGCACCTGTGTATGCAAATTAATCCGCCATCTTTGTTGGGTTAATTTGCATACACATGCCTAATTGGCTGGTGGGCGTTGTGAAGGTATGGTCAATTTGCATCTTTCTCTTTTATTAATGTAGATTATTATAAGAAAATGAAAGTAAGAAACATATAAACCTGTTATTGGCCTACTATATTCTCCCTGAATATAAATCATTTTAATTTTTAATTTTAAGGTTTTTTTAAATTACTAGTAAATCTTAATAACAAATTAAGGCAAAATTTGTTTGCAAGTATGAAGTTAGCTTCTTGGGAAAGTATTCAAATTGCTACTCTACTGTCATTAAAGAACTGCTTGAGAAGTTTTGAGTTGGTAAACTCGTTCCCTAAAAAAGGCTAGAAAGTAAATGTTTTAGGATTTGCAGTCAACTGCGGCTAGTGTGTAAACATACACAAACAAGTGGCTGTGTTCCAATTAAACTTATTTATAAAAATTGGTGGTGAACTGCATTTGGTTTGCAGGCCAATGTTTGCTGATCCCTGACTTAGAGCAAGACAAAGATATGTGAAATGTTAAGAAATCCAAAAACATGTTATGTGAATACCTGTAAAATGTAATGACTCTGAAATTAGAAAGAATACAAGATATCTTCAGAATAAAAATATGCTGAATCCAATCTGATAAAGCAACCTTGGGGAGGGACTACAGAACCAAATCACAACTTAAAATTAAGTTGTAACCTGAATTTTGGGGACAGACGTAGACTTAACAACCAATTTGCTTGCCATCTTTAGCATATATACTATGTTCACTGATTTGTATGTCTCTAGATTCCCTATTATACTTTATTATTCTTATATACCCAGTCTTACGCTAATTTCTATAATAAAGAGGTAATATGCAAATTGTCCGTTACCGCATCATAGTAATGACTGTTCAACAGGCTGCATGCGCAGCAGCAGGGGAACTTGTGTGAGGCTCGTTTCCCTTCCCCTGGCACCACACCCTGTCCAAATGCGCTCTGCTTGAGGACGCCACCAAACCCCCCTGAGGTGGGGGGGACTGAGTGGCAACACCCACCAGCAGAAGGCATGGCCAGGAGATACCAACTGGGGGGTGCGAGCATTGGTGGTGATCCTGGGAGGGGTCGCGCATGCAAATCCAGAGGGTGTGGACCCAACATGAAGGAAGGGCCTGGGCGTGACAACAGAGAGTGGACATTGAGGTAAGGCACCAGACCTGGACGGGCCACTGGGTAAACAACGTGAGGATCCCACCGCCACAGACATACAGGGTGGCCCCGCGATGTCCGGCACACCAATTGATCCTCCCAAGCGCACAATCTTGAAGCCTTCTCCCGCCACGTGGACCTGGCCCCACCACCATGGAGACCAAAGGCAACCCTCACACCACAGGGAAGCCGCCATGGCTTTCTCCAGCCATCCATCTATCATCTGCCCGGTCCGACCCAGACAGGGGCTCGCATCCTGGGTGGAACGCACCCCAAGGGCAAGCTGAGCCCCGGCCGTGCCTGTGCAAGCATGTCCGTTGCCTGCGAATTTGGGATGGGAGTGGATGGAGAGCTGCTCAAGGCATGGGAGCGGGCATGCCAGGGGATGGGAAAGGCCTCCGCGTCCCCACCTTCAGCACGCAGCGGGAGAAAAGCCACGCACATGTACGTAATACAGTGGTCCCCGCAATGGACACCAGCCTCAGCCTGGTGGACCCTCCCCTGACTCAGAGTGGGGAGGCATGGAGGATGGGGAAGAAGGGAAGGAGGGAGGGAAGAACTTTATAAAGGACTCAGTAAACAGCAGAGTTAAAGAAGGAAAGAGAATGTATGAGAGAACTGTAGGAGCTATAATGAAAATCAAGTATAGTTGTCTACTGACAGATTTTAAAAGTAGGAGTCAGGCCCTAACCGGTTTGGCTCAGTGGATAGAGAGTCGGCCTGCGGACTCAGGGGTCCCAGGTTTGATTCCGGTGAGGGGCATGTACTTTGGTTGCGGGCATATTCCCAGGGGGGAGTGTGCATGAGGCAGCTGATTGATATTTCTCTCTCATTGATGTTTCTGACTCTCTGTCCCTCTCCCTTCCACTCAGTAAAATATATTTCAAAAAAATAAAAAAAAATAAAAGTAGGAGTCAGAAAAGAAAAAAGATAAATGACAGTGAATAATTAGGCAGGTAGATAGATAGGTATTAAAACAATGGAAATAAGTACAGAAGAATGTATGGGAAAGGTAGGATGAGAGAGAAAGAGAGAGGGAAGAAAAGTTTTAAAGGGGAGCCAGTAGAGCTTAAAAGGAGAATGGAAGATGGAAGAAATGGAGGAGAGAGCAAAGCAGGTCCGAGGAAGGAAGTGAAGAAAAAATTTAAGGTGGGAAGAAGGAAAAGGGGAGGGAAGGTAGGGGTAAAGATTAAGGCAAAAGGAATGCGGGGAGGGTAGGAGAAAGATGGGAAGAAGGATGATGGAACAGAAGTAGGAAATAAAGAGAAAGGAAAAGCTTATAAATGATGAGTCAGTAGGAAAAGTGTTACATAAAAAATTGTGTGAGAGGGAGAAGCCAATAAGGAAGTCAAATACAATTGTGTGTGAAGGGGATAAGATTTAAAAAAAAGTTAATAGGGGTGACAAGGTGGTCAGGGGAGAGCAGTTAGGGGGATCAGGCTGGCAGGAGAGAACAGTTAGGGGGATTAGGCTGGCAGGGGAGGGCAGTTATGGGGATCAGGCCAGCATGGAAGAGCAGTTAGGGGGATCAGGCAGGTGAGCGGTTAGGAGCCAGAGATCCCGGATTGTGACTTGGACATCCCCCGAGGGCTACAGGATTGGAGAGGGTGCAAGCTGGGCTGAAGGCTCCCCCTGCCTCTGTGCACAAATTTTATGCAGGTCTCTAATATTATTATAAACATAATAGTTAAGATAGCATGTCTTCATTACTACTAGAATAAACCTTCTTAGTTGTTCTTCAAGAATGTTCATCAGGAAACTACTAGATTTAATAAATGAATGCAGCAAGACAGCAGGATAAAAAATAAATATCCACAAAACGATGTCATTTTTATACACCAATAATGAACTATGAGAAAGAGAAACTAAAAAAGAAATCCCATTTACCATTGCAACAATAACAAAAAAATAAGATTACCTAGGAATAAATTTAACCAAAAGATCTGTGATTGGAAAACTATAGGACATTGAAAAAAGAAATAAAGAAAGATATAAACAAATGGAAGATATACCATATTCATGAACGGGAAGAATTAACATAATTAAAATGTCTATACTATCCAAAGAAGTCTACAGGATTCAACACAATCTTTATTAAAATACCAACAGCATACTTCACAGAGCTATAACAAATACTCCAAAAGTTTATACGGAACCATAAAAGACCCCAAATAGCTGCAGCAATCTGGAGAAAGAAGAACAAAGTAGGAGGGATCACAATACCGAATATCAAACTATACTACAAAGCCATTACAACCAAAATAGCCTGGTATTGGCACAAGGACAGGCATATAGACCAACAGATCAGAACAGACCCCAGAAATTGACCCATCAAAATGAAAAGGAAACCCACTGAATGGGAGAACATATTTGCCAATGATACATCTGATAAGGGGTTAATATCCAAAATATATAAAGTACTCATACAACTCAACAAAAGACAAACAATCCAATTAAAAAATGGGCAGACGAGCTGAACATTTCTCCAAAGAGGACATACAAATGGCGAAGAGACATATGAAAAAATGCTCAAAGTCACTAATCATCAGAGAAATGCAAATTAAAACTACAATGAAATATCACCTCACACCTGTCAGAATGTCACTATCATCAGCAAATCAAACAACAAGGGCTGGTGAGGATAGAGAAAAGGCAACCCTCATTTACTGCTGGTGGGAATGCAGATTGGTCCAGTTATTATGGAAAACTGTATGGAGTTTCCTCAAAGAATTAAAAATTAAAAATTAAAAATAAGATCCGAAGCATACCTCAAGGTTGGGGGGATGAGAAGAGATAAACCAAAGAACTAATATACTTACATGCATAGCCCATGGACATGGGTAGTGAAGATTTGGAGGGATGGGTAGGGGCTGGGAGGAGGGGAGAGAGGGGGGCGGGGAATGGGAGCTATCTGTAATACTATCAACAATAAAAATATATTAGAAAAAAAAAGAATGCCAGGACTAGGTTGAAATCTTTGCATTTCCATAAAATTCTTGAATTGGTATAGCAAACTCCCTAAAACGACTTGCTAAAAGTTTGATAGAAACTGTAATGAATCCATAAACAATTTAGGACAGTGGTTCTCAACCTGTGGGTCACAACCCTTTGGGGGTCGAACGACCCTTTCACAGGGGTCGTCTAAGACCATTGCAAAACACATATATAATTACATATTGTTTTTGTGATTAATCACTATGCTTTAATTATGTTTAATTTGTAACAATGAAAATACATCCTCCATAAAAGATATTTATGGTTCCTAACAGTAGCAAAATTACAGTTATGAAGTAGCAATGAAAATAATTTTACGGTTGGGGGTCACCACAACATGAGGAACTGTATTAAAGGGTCACAGCATTAGGAAGGTTGAGAACCACTGATTTAGGAGAATACTGTCATCTTTATAATACCAAGTTTTCCTAACATGATACATATTATTCATTGATTTAGGTCTTCTTTAATGACTCCTAAAGTCATGCATATCTTTTGTTAAACTTATTTCTAGGTATCCCATAGTTTTGGATGATATTTTATGTAAATAGTGCCATTTTTAAAAATTTCAATTTCTAATTATTTGTTATTGGCATAAACGAATTGATATTTGACACAGGTTTGCATGTTGCAAAGCTCTTACTAGTTCCACTGAATTTATCTGTAGATTTTGTTTGTATTATCTAGGTCTAAAGTTGAAAACAATGATAAATTCATTGCTTCTTTTCATATCTTTTACTTTTTGCTTATATTTGTTGCCTTACTGCCCAGCTTGAAATTTCAGTACCATTCTGAGTAGGAGTGGTGACAGCAGATATCCCCTTTTCCTAATCTCAAATAGCAAGCTTTCCACGTCTACAATTCTATATATTTGTTGTAATTTTTTTTGTTTTTCAAAGCACTCTAGCAGATTAAAGTACTTATCTCTTATTCCAGGTTAACTAAGGGTTTTCATCAAAAATGAGTGTTTCAGTAGCTTTCCTTTTATCTGTTATAATATGGTGAATTACAATAATTGTTTAAGGGAATGTAAAATAATTAAGTTTGTAAATGGGACCAAACATTAATCAAAGGTACTCATGAAAGCAACTAAAAATTAACTGGATTTGTAAATTTTAAAAGACACTACTGAATAATGTATCATAAACATTATATTTAATGATGTACACATTAAAATATATAACATATATAGTATAAATTTAAAGTCTGAATAAATACTAGGTATTTGAATTGGTGAATAAAAAAAAGGTATTAATTTTAAAGCCAAAAGTTAAGACAGAGAATTTTGTGCATAAAATTACTGCAAGCCCAATCTCAGTACTGTGTGTACACTCTCATATGCACAACATCCAATAATGACAAATAAATGTGGGATTCAATGATTAAAATGAATTTCTAACATCACCAAAACATGTGGTGAAACAAGGGAAAAAATGCAGCACGGTTTCAGTAAAGCATAGCATTTAAGAATGGAAGTTCTGTTAACCAAGTTGTAACCTGCTAGCTGTAAAAATCTTTGGTGGGTATGACTTCACTCCGTATGCCTCATTTTCTCAGGTGCTTAACTGTGCTAAAACGAAAGGAAGATCAGTGAACCACAGAATTCCTCAGTCTATAGTTTGACCTCTCAAAAAGCACATTACCTCATATTCCTCCAAGTTTACTTCTTCAGGTCTTATCATTTCAAGTTTGGCTTGAGCCACTTTCATTATGTTGTGACACCTTAAAATAAAAAAAAGTATATATTCCTAAATCAAAAGCCAAATCCATAAAACTGAAAAATGTGTGTTAAATAAATGAAACTACCCAACACATATAGAAATGAAAACCACTGTTACTGAGGAAACAACTCCCATATAAGCTTAAGAAAAAATGTGTTTTTTGAGATCAATGTTGGTTACAAAGTACATAAAAAAGACTGCATGATTCTAAATCAATGATTCTAAGTCAAATTTACTGTGTTATACTTATGGTTTTTAAATTATAGTCTATTAATAAAGATTGCATAGATAAAAATATACTTTTAAAAATAATTTGTATTTATTTAGCTCAAGATACATTAAATTTTATTTCCCCCCAAATAGCATTATTTGCAAATAGCACCAAAGAATACAAAACATTCTTATCATTTTAAGAATGGAAACATTCCAATAAATTTGTGATCAGAAATCCTTACAAAATATATTTAGTTATCACATGCTAGCACATACTCTGTCTTTTAAGCACAACACAAATTAGGTTATTAAAACAAATTGACTATCTGCAGTTGCCAGGACAAAAAATTGCAAAAGAATAAAAAGTCAATGTGATTATTCCATAAATCTCTTCCCCAAATTCAGTAGCATATGTTTATTGGAACATGTGCATTAACAGATAGATAAAAAGGGTCATAATCATACTTCAGAGCTCTTTGTAGCCATATGTAGCAAAATAAATGATAACCATACTTCTATCAAAAACTGAAATAGCCAACACGCACTGAGCATTCAGTGTCTACTAGGTATTGTTCAAAATCATTTACTTGTACTATTTCTCTTAATCCTAAATTTCAGACACATGGTGAGGCAGGAATTAATACTAGATGTTCATTTCTCCTCATATTCTCCTCTGCTAAACATATTTTTCATTAAGTATTTTGAAACTTCATAAAAGGGTAATCACTTATTTCAGAATTAAAATGCAATTACAATGAACTCCAAGACAGCATAAATGTTTCTGTATTCTAAAATAACTTCCAATACTTTGATCTTTAACTGAGACCTTTTTTTAAACAGTATTCATTCTCACTAGATTAAATTTAAAATTTTAATATTAGTAAATAATTTTATAGGAACTTCTAAGAGAAAACTTTTTTTATAAACTAAAATTAATTTAACCAATTATCTGACTCCAAATATCCTTAGTATAAAGGTTGAAAAATTTTTATCTTTAAAATATTGACTCCCACAAAGCAGTGATTACAGTACACTCTTCTGTGTATCATTATATTGCTTAGCGCACAACTGCAATGTATGGAAACGATGAGTTATTTTCAGTTCAAGCTTTTAAAGGTCATGATTATAACCTATAGATAAAATTACAAAGCAACTGTTCAAATTAAGTAAAGCCAGATTTTGTGCTGTATTTATTGAAATGTCTTTGTGTACGTGTAAAATAAACATTCAAAAACTGCATTGGGAACTACAAAAATAACAATTTGAGCCTACGAATAAGGTATTTTGTATTTTTAAATTACCTTTCATCAAAACTCAGGTTTCTATCTCCAAATTGTTCCAGCAATGTTTTCTCAATGATTTTCTTTGGCGCCTGGTTCTGGATAAAGTAGACCACTATGTGATGCAGACGATAATCTGTTTCTGGTGGGGTATCTTCTTGGGCCAATCTAACCAACCTTGAATATTCCAACTTAATTGCCTAAGAAATGTAACAAAATGTCAGTTTTGGTTAGCTATAACAATGAAATCTTTGAATATTATAACTTTAATTATTGTTGCATTCAAATATGCCTTTTTTCTTTTAAAGTATTACAAACAAGATAGTACATATAAGAATATTTATTATTCCATGTTCCATAGATTAAAAGAACTTTCTATAAAACTGACCACATAAGCCCTTCCTTATCCCTTCAATATAAAAATGTTCTTTGTTTCTACAAAGAAAAATGGTAAAATACACAATACATCTAAGGTTACTATGTGAGCCAATTTTATAAAACTTACCAAAGCCTGGTCAAAGTCTATTCAGGGCCTGGTTAATAATTGGATGGGAGATAGCCTAAGATTGAGATACTAAGCATCTCCTAATCTACGTTTTCTACGATCAGTTTGAGGTAGCCTCTAATATCCCAAATTCTATAGCTGAAATACAGCTCCTGTAGAATACCCATATCTGAGAGAAAATGGCTGGCTCTTGAATCCTAATAATATTATTATAATTAACTTTTGGTTGAGTAGCCCACAGATAAGGGATGAAAAAGCAAGCCCAGAGATTGTAGTTACCATAGAATGAATTCCTTGTTGCTTCAAAATTTTTGTATTTTATTAATATAATTATTTATTAATGAATATTATTACTATTATGATGGAGCTTTTCTTTATAGATAAAACACCTCATAATTTATAACTAATTATGATGGAAAATAAATACTAATATATTTCTAAACATGAGCAAATGGTTTGAAAAAGATCTGCTCATACAGAAATATATGTAGAGTTATACATCAAATAATGCTGTATATAAGAAACCTTTACGATTAAAGATAATTTTTAAAATACTCATTTATGTTAGACTTATTCCTAATTGTAGCTCTATTAACCATAAAATATGCAACATATATTTCAAATTATCCTTTCTATAGAAGGGTTTTTCTTTGTCAAATGTATGCTTTTAAGTAATTCTTGGACATATAGATTTTACCACCTATACGACTGTATTTTACAGAAGGGAGAAAATATAACTAACAGACATTAAATGTTCTATTTATATATGTTATACTTCACTAAGGGGAAGGCTAGTAAGTTCTTTCTATATAGCTCAGCATTATAAATAGAGTAAGAATTACTTTTTAGCTAAAATAATATATTCTATTAGATTACTTTTAGATATATATGTCATTCTAAATTCTTAGAGCTCTGGTTAAAATAGCCATGGAAACTGACTATATCTTAACATGTAGGATTATCAAGATTCACTTCTTGGCATACCTAATGAGCACACATGAACTTTGCTTAGAACTATTTAAAATCTCCCCATTTTCCCTATTTGAAAAAAAAGGCACATGTTCATTTAATAATCAAATTACACTGAGTTTGATAAAATATATAAAACAAAAACAATAACTGCTTTTACTTATGCCCCTTAGGCAATGACTGTTTAGGCTATTATAGGTGTGTTTTTAAATATTCAAATATTTTAGATATTGTGCTTTTGGCCTAAATTAGTATGGCCAAAATAAAATAAATTTTGTATTGAGTTTGTTAAGATAATTACTATAGTTTAGAGACAGAAATTATAACACTAAATAGTTATCCATTTTTCTATCTACTTTCAGAATAGAGGCTATGATTATTTTATAA